GCTACTGGTGCCTCTGCTGCTGCTGCTGTTGCTATTGCCTCTGTTGCTGTTACTTCCGCTGCTGCTGCCTCTGCTGCTGCTGCCAGTGCTGCTGTTGCCTCTGCTGCTGCTACTTCTCGTGGTACTGATGCTGCGATCATTGATTCTGTTGCAGCATTTGCTGCTTATGGGGACGTTGGCCCGGTTCTTGTGACAACGTCCATCAGGGAGCGTGTCCAGGCATTCATCTCTGACGAGAGTTTGCAGCCTGGTCCGCTGCCTCTTGTGGTGTGAGTCCTCTCCACTTGGGGTTGAAGACCATGTGTGTGGCTAGTTCCCACGCATTTGGTATTCCAGTTTCATTGAAGGATCCTGGTCCCACGTACAGTATGTTATAACTTTGTCCAAGCATTGTTTAGCTATGTGGGAGTCCACCATTCCTAGGAAAAGAACCATGGTGACGACTGGAACTTAATTTAAGAATGTCGCTCGACAGGAGAGACAGGACGAGCATGAGAGGGACGGTGAGACCAGAAGTGGGACGGACGCGTGAGGTCACGAGACATAGGAGGAGACACAGGAGGAGAACGCGGGGGAAAACGAGCCGGAGACCAATCCGGCGAAGGAAACACAGGACCGTAGACAGGCGGGGGATGCGCAGGTGGGCGGTCAGGGGAGGGAAGACCGAGGAGGCGAAGGGCAGACACCGGCGGTGACTGCTGCTGTTGCTGCTGCTGCTGCTGCTCCATAACGACACCCGAACCTCCAGTTGCACCACGGCTACCTCCGGGAGGCTCCATGACAACACCCCCAGAACGAGAACCTACTCTAGCACTAGTGCCACCCCCAGGACCGCCAGGACAAGCAAAAAAAGTACCCCCAGGACGAGCACCCCTAGAACCAGCACCCCCAGAACGAGAACCCTTTCCAGCACCGGTGCCATCCCCAGGACCGCCGGGACAAGCCACGACAGTACCCCCAGGACTAGCACCCTCCTCAGTGCCCGCATCCCCAGAGCTCGTGGACCCCTGCGGCTGCGACGGTGGGGACGGTGGCTGCGGCTGCGGCGGTGACGGCGGCTACTGCGGCTGCGGCGGCGATGGCGGCTGCTGCGGCGGCGGCGGAGGAGGGGACACCGAGGCGGATACAGGTTGCGGCACCAAAGCCGCGGGGCCCCCGGAGTCAGCCGACTCCTCCACCGGGACAACCAACGAGAGGGGAGTGACGTGAGACACACCAGACGGAGCAGGACGGGGAGGAGGAGGAGCAGGGGCTACCGGGGGAGTGGGAACCAGGAACAGGGGCGGGGCAACCGGGAGACCTTGGTGGGGAAAGCGAGTGATAAAAGTGCCAGTCAAACGCGTCGAGGGGGTAACCAAGGAAGACATAAGGGACCGTAAGGGCAGTGAGCTTGTTCAGGCCAGATGCACAAACGTGAGCAAGGCAGCCACAGACATGGAACGCAGGCGCGTCACCAGGAAACCTGGTCAAGAGAAGGGTCGGCGAAACCTGCGGCCGCTGGGAGTGTGGCCCCAGGTTACACTAATGACTGGCGTAACGAACAGCGAACGGGCACAGAAAATGGGGTGCACCGGCATGGATCATGGAGGTACGGGCCACGTCTATGACCAAACCGATGCGTCGCTCAGCGACCCCATTTTGATGCAGGGAGTCCGGCAGGGTGTACGACTGGGTGATGCCTGTTATAATCACAATAGGCTCCGATGTGCCTAAAATGAGAGAAATTGTGCACAGTCAGAATTCCGTCAGACAGCTTTAAATGTTGATGCTGATCTGATGTGTGCTTCAAACGGTAATCTGTAAATCGGATCTGGAGGGCGTTGCTGTTGCCTATCAGCAGCAAGTTGAATCATAAAATTCCATGAAGATTTGACGACGCTATGGCGGTTTGACTGGCAGGAGGTACAACAGCCACTATAGTCTTAGGAGTACAAAAAACTTAGGAAGAAGAATTCGAGAGGGAGATGGTTCCCAGCCTCTACATACCCCAAGAGCCGAGGTCCAGGTTGGTGGTACACCACCACAGAGTCCCCAACCCCGAAGAGTCTCGAAACCAACCCTCCAAGGGGCTACACCAAATGAAATGTAACACTGCACGAAGTAGCGTTCCTCCATTACCACGGCCTCCATTGAAGTAGCTGCTGCTCCTCGCCCTCTGCCCCTTCCACGGCCGTGCCCACGGCCCATGCTTGCAACTCCGGCACCATCGGGACCCGCCAATTCGCGACGGCGGAAATCTTCTTGTAAGATTTCCCGCTTCACATCTTCCAGTGAGAGACGGGCAGATCTCGATTTAGGTTGATGATGAGCGAGGACCATGAGTCCGGAAGTAAGGCCAGCAGCTTGGTCTTCTTTTGAAGCTCACTGTAGTTCAGGTCAGCTCCTTCGAGCCGTATCAACAAGTCGAAGAATTTCTGCACTCCTTCCTCCACCGGTTCGCCTTCGTCAATTCGAAGTGCCGCCATTTGCCGCTCCAAAACCACAGCCACCGCCGCTGTTGCAGGAGCGTGTACACCCTTGAGAGCAGCCCATGCCTTTGGTCCCTTTGCTGTTTCACGCTGAAAAGGCTTGATGTGACGGGTTTGGCTGCTCCCCAACGCTTGCCCAAGTAGAAGGTAGCCTTGTGCACTCTTCCGCACCCATGGGCTCTTCTCCGGGTCGTTCTCGGGGCGCTTCTCCGTTCCTTCCATCACCTCCAGCAGATCATAGTGGTCAAATATGTTCTCCATCTTGAAGGACAACTCAGCAAAGTTGTCACCGTTGAACTTGTCAAGGCCAAACACTCTAGGCTCATCCCTAGAGGGTCCAAGGGTAGGTTGCACCAGAGCAACGGGTGGATCTTGGTGTTGACCTTGTGCTTGGGCGTCTTCTCTGCCTCCAGCACCTCTGCCACCCCCTTCCTTAGGTCTAGGCATGGTTGAGACGGCTCCAAGGGGCTCTTATACCACTTTTTATAATCACAATAGGCTCAGATGTGCCTAAAATGAGAGAAATTGTGCACAGTCAGAATTCCGTTAGACAGCTTTAAATGTTGATGCTGATATGATGTGTGCTTCAAACGGTAATCTGTAAATTGGATCTGAAGCGCGTTGCTGTCGCCTATCAGCAGCAAATTGAATCATAAAATTCCATGAAGATTTGACGACGCTATGGTGGTTTGACTGGCAGGAGGTACAACAGCCACTATAGTCTTAGGAGTACAAAAAACTTAGGAAGAAGAATTCGAGAGGGAGATGGTTCCCAGCCTCTACATACCCCAAGAGCCGAGGTCCAGGTTGGTGGTACACCACCACAGAGTCCCCAACCCCGAAGAGTCTCGAAACCAACCCTCCAAGGGGCTACACCAAGTGAAATGTAACACTGCACGAAGTAGCGTTACTATTTTCACTATTTAATAGTTATCCGTGTCCCTTGGGCTTGAAATCTTGAGCTCTTGGTCTTGGATCTGCAAGATAAATTCTTCTTGAGTTGATGGGGGCTTGCTGCACACACCTGCGACGCGATGGACACTTCACACTCGACAAAATAGAAAAAACACATGCGACACGCAAACGACGACTTGACATGCGAGTTGTAAAAACTCGCTAATGTCTTGACCGACACAAACCACGTTGTGATACACCATTCAAACACACACACAAGCACTAGATAGCAATGACATAGACTCACAATTCATTCCATGCCATGCATACACACACAAACAAGGACGACAAGCCGAGTGCAAGCCATAGGGTTGCACCAACAATGCCCTCCACACGACACAACTGGCCAAGCCGACCGGAGGCGAACTCGCCGCCATGGTCGGAGTGGAGACGCAGCACTGGGAGGGCGCGGTGGACTCGCGTGAGCTCGTCGACAAGCACTAGAAAGTAGCGCTTACAACACGGCCCAGAGACAGGGGTGGGACCCCAAACGTCCAGGTTCAGGGTCGGGAGTGACGTAGTGGTAGGGAGAAGCGAGGAGGAGTGCGGAACATGTCGCAGCCGGCCCTCGATGCAGGGCGTGCACGGCGGCGCAGGCGAGGGAGGGAGGGCAGGGAGTGACGCAGGGAGACCACGGACAAGCCTGTGATGGGACATGTGACGCAGAAGCGGGAGAGCAGGGTGACCTAGGCGGTGGTGCCACAGCAGTGAAGGGTGGGTGAGCGACCGACACGAGCAGGTTGTAGCTACTTGAAAGGACGCGGCCACCTGGGGGGACGCTCTGACGGGGGGGGTGTTGTGTGATGTCATCATATGCTATCACATTCTGTCTGCCTCCCATCCCATATTTTTTCAACTTGCATGTGTGGTTTGAACGTGTGCAAGAATTTGTGTGTGATGTGTTCTGGAGTTTGGGAATGTGTTTTGTGTTATTTTGTTTGAGCAGGTTTTTTGTGATGATAGATCTTGAGAAGATCTTTCCGACGCAACGAGAATCCCTTCAATCGGAGCAAGAACGCGAAAGCTATGAAGATTCAAAGTTCATGAGCTTGCGTTACAATTGCGGCGGTTACAAAGTGAAGTTGTGGGGTGACTCTATATGGAGTTGGGACCTTTGGGGGTTTGGGAAATTTGTCACTCACTGTAACAGCTGCAAATTGGTTGGGAACAACCAAGCTAGGTTGGCAAGGGTGGCCAACTTGGATGGATTGGTTGGGAAGGGACAAATGTCAAAGTTGGGGTTCCTATAGGGAGGGAATCTTTGTGCTTATGGGGTTTCCTTGGTTGGGGACTCTCTTGGGACCTTCCCTCTCATCCCTCTCTTCCTATCCCAACCTTTCTCTTGCTCCTTCTAATTCCTTGTGAGATTCTTGAACTTTGATTGAACTCTTGAGATTGAGTTAAGTTCTCCTCCTACAGCTTACCCCCTAATGCGTCGAAAGCCATAGCGTCGCGAATACTTCATCAATCAACATGATTCAAATTGGGAACGGTAGCTGAGATAAAGAGCTACAACATATCCAAGTTTCGCGACATTCCAACGGCTAGGTTTTCGTCGACGTCGTTTCTTGTGAAGACGACTTTTCTGTCCAGAATTTCGGATTTATATTTTGAGTAATTCTAGCTCCTAAGTTCACCTAGACTCCGTCCTTAATTCTAACAAGTGGTATCAGAGCTGTATTAAGGACGTTGAGAGGAGTCTACAGAAGTGTGAAGACCCTTCTAGACCCACCATGGCCTGTGGGTGTGCCTAAGTGGTGTTCTAAAGGTTGGATGTGTCTTCCGCTAAGGGAAACTCTGCCGAAATTTCGTGGACGCCGACACTTGTGAAAATATCGAGGGAGCTGAGTGTGGACAGCAAAGGGGGGCTGAAATTCGTCATTTCTCAAGGAGAAGATGAATGAGAGAGGAGGAGATGCTAATGGAAGAGGAGCTGTAGCTGAGAAGACAAGTGAGCCGCCGCCATCAAAAGTTGAAGCTTTGGATGGCTCCAACTATGAGGAATGGAGCGGACGGATGAGAAGTGCCTTCAAACGCTACAAGCTACTGAAGATTGCTGTTGGGGAAGAGAAGATGCCGGAAGAAGGCGAAGCACGTGAACGGTGGATTGAGAAAAGCACGGTGCTTTTCGACCTCATCCTTCAATCGGTCAACAAGGAGATGTTCGAGCACATCAAGGATCTTGTGGAAGCGGATGATTCGGGTCCAAGGGCGTGGAAACTACTACGCGATGTGATTCAGCCCAACACTCTCCTGATGGTGATCGTGCTCGAGAAGGAACTTGCTGCCATCTCCATGCGACCAGGGGACGATGTGAAGCCGGTCCTTGACAAGATCAAGGACACCTATGCAAGGATGGCAGCAGCGGGCAGCAGTGTATCTCAGCTGCAGCAGTGCACCAAGATCATCTCGGTGTTGGACAACTCGTGGGATAACCTCATCCCCACCCTCAACTCTCAGCAAGATCAATGGACACCTGAGTGGCTAAGGCAGCAGATTCTGCAGGAGGACTTCCGCAGACGCCATGTGGGAGGCGGTGCTGCCACTAAGACTGCTGAGGGGTATGGAGCTGCAGGGCGCAGCAGAGGAAGAGGGGGTTGGAGAGGCCGAGGCCGTGGGAGAAGCTTTGGCAGAGGTAGAGGCCGAGGTGACTATAATGAGGGGCATGGGAGCTCCAGTGGCAGGGGGAGTACCAGAATGGAGGGCACCTGCTGGTACTGCAAGAAGGTCGGGCATCCTTGGTTCAAGTGCTTCAGCAGGCTGGAGGGATGGTCACCTCCAGGCATGAAGCCGCCAAGTGGTGAACGCGCACAAGGTGGCGCTGTGCAAGGCTCAGGTGCACAAGGTGAAGGTGCACAAGGTAACGCCTATCCTGGGATGTATCTCATGGTTGAGGATGTGCATGGGCATGAGGGTGATGTGGGATCTGTCGGAAAGGTTGTGATGCACCCTCTCATGCACTGGGTGATTGATTCGGGTTGCACCAGTCACATGACTCCACGGGCAGATTTGCTTGATGAGGTAAAACCCCCTGGGAAGATCAAGTATGTGGCAGCAGCGTCAGGTGCTTTGCTCCCTGTCATTGGTGTTGGGAATGCCAAGGTTAAGGGAGCAAATGGGGAGCTTGTGGGGCTTGGGAATGTTCTGCTGGTTGAAGGCTTGTCTGCTAACCTTCTCTCTGTGCGACGACTGCAGAAGAGCAAGGCCGAAGTGACATTTGGACCAACCAGCTGCCGTGCTAAGCTTGGGAAGAAGGTGCTGTGGAGTTTGGAAGAGGAGACCAGCTGCATCAAGGACCTGTGGCAGCTGCCCATCATCCCATGGAATGGGAAGACTCCAACAGCAGCAACGGCAGCAGCGGCAAAGGCAACAGCAGGAGGAGATGCAACTGCACCAACTGATGGGGTCCTGGAAGCAGTCAAGAAAGTGCAGCAGCAGCAGACACATGGTGAGGTGCTTGCTGGTGTGGATGCAAGTGCGGCATGGGCTAAGGCTTCACCAAGGAGTGGAGAGGCCGATTGGGAGACATGGCATGAGAGGCTGTGTCATGTGAACTTCCCTATGCTGCAGAAGTTGGTGAAGGATGGGAGCCTGAAGGGCTTGGAGGTGAAAGGGGGAGTGAAGGAGATTGGGAGCTGCCCTACATGCTTGGAGACCAAGTTCTCCAAGTTCCCCTTCAACAGCACTACAGGACCAGCCAAGACCCCACTTGCACTTGTGCATATGGATGTGGTGGGGCCCACAAGAGCCCCTTCCCTCTCAGGCAGCCGCTATTTCTTGACAATTGTGGATGACCACACTCGGGCAGTGTGGGTTTACCCTTTGAAGAGCAAGGGGGAGGTGGCAGCGGCTGTCCTTAAGGAGTGGATGCCGAGAGCTCAGAGGGAATGCGGACACAAGGTGAAGGTGATCCGTAGTGACAATGGTGGGGAGTTCATTGGAGCTGATTTTGAGGGGGAGTTGAAGAGGAAGGGGATCCAGCATCAACTGACAGTGCCCTACAACCCGCAGCAGAATGGCGTGGCTGAGAGGTTCAACAGGACCCTGCAGGAGGGGGCACGCACTCTCCTTGGGCGTGCAGGGCTGCCTGATCCGTTTTGGGTGTCTGCACTGAGGCAGGTCGCCCTTGTGAAGAATAGGGTGCTGGCTACAGTTGGAGATAAGGAGTGGATCCCATATGCCAAGTGGTATGGGAGTGCTCCAGCGGTGAACATGCTGAGGGCATTTGGGTGCATGGTGGTGTTTCATGTGCCCAAGGAGAAAAGGGGGAAGTTGGAGGCTTCTGGAAGATGGGGTGTGCACTTGGGGATTGCAAAGGATCACAAGGGGTGGCTGCTATGGGACCTGACCACCCAGAAGCTGACAGTGTCAAGGGATGTGAAGTTTCTTGAGTCCCTGTACTATAAGGAATGGAAGCAGCAGCAACAGAAGCTTCCATCTACACCACTCATTGTGGAGGCAGATGAGTTGCAGCAGCCTTCAAGACAGGTGGAGGTTGCAGTGTCAGAGGAGGAGATGTCTGGGGTGACTGAGGAAGGGGGAGCAGCTGAGGTGGAGCAGCAGCAGCAGCATGAATCTCCACCTCGAGTTCCACACCCGCCTGAGCGTCCTAGGAGGGATGTGCGCCCTCCTGTGAGGCTGACCTATGGGGGAAGAGGCAAGCCGAATGTGGTGCAGGCTGGGAGTGTGGTTGAGCAGATTGAGGAAGATGAGATCGCTCACTGCTACTGGGCACCAATCCCTGAGCCCAAGACTCGAGAGGAGGCCTTGAATGGACCAAATGGGGAGAAGTGGAAGGCGAGTGAGGATGAGGAGTTCGGGTCCCTAATTGAGAACGAGACATGGGACCTGTGTGACTTGCCTCCTGGAAAGAAGGCAATCACTTCCAAGATGATCTACAGGCACAAGTATGGACCTGAAGGGGAGCTGACCCGCTACAAGTCTAGGCTTGTGGCACGGGGGTTTCAGCAGACAAAGGGGAAGGACTATGATGAGGTGTTTGCTCCTGTGGGGAAAGGAACAACACTGAGGGTGCTGTTGGCGATAGCTGCACTCCTGGGATGGAAGATACGGCAGATGGACATTGTGACTGCCTTTCTGAATGGGATCATTCTGGAGGAGGTGTACATGAAGCAGCCAGAGGGGCTGGATGATGGGAGCGGCAGGGTCTGCAGGCTGAAGAAGGCCATCTATGGCCTTAAGCAGGCGCCTCGTGCATGGTATCACAAGTTGGAGGAGGCGCTGTTGGCTGGGGGTTTCAAGAAGAGTGAGTGTGACCCCAGCCTGTTCCTGCTGCAGGAGAAGGATGAAATCCTCATGCTCTTGGTGTACGTGGATGATATCCTTCTCTTTTCTGCATCAACTGCTTTGCTGGACAGTGCAGAGCAGATGCTGGAGATGCAGTTCAAGTGTTCCAAGATGGGTGAGGTGAAGTACTACTTGGGGATGCCTGTGGAGAGAGATGTGGAGAAGGGTGTGCTGAGGTTGCACCAGAGGAAGTACTGTGAGGGGCTGGCTGAGAAGTATGGGCTGCAAGATGGGGGAAAGCCAGCAACACCACTACCTTCAGGGTTTACTGTGGAGCCATGTGCTGATGAGGAGGTAGTGGGTGATAGTGACAGGAAGCTGTTTCATTCGATGGTTGGGTCGCTGAATTATGCTGCAAATCATACACGGCCTGACATTGCATTTGCTACATCACGATTGGCTAGTGTGGTCTCACGCCCTAGTCATGAGCAGCTGGAAGCGGCCAAGAGGTTGGTCCGCTATGTGAGCGCTACGGCATCAGTGGGATTGGAGTACAGTGGAGTGAGGCAGCGGTTGCAGAGAGGTGCTGCAGATGTGAAGAGTGGAGAGATGCTCTTGAGTTGCTATACTGACGCTAGCTTCAACTCAGTGAAAGCGGATGGCACCAGCATTGGGGGTTATGTGTGCTTGCTAGGAGGTGGTGCTGTGAGCTGGCGCAGCAAGAAGCAGAATGAGGTGGGATTGTCCTCATGTGAGACTGAGTACATGGCCTTACACCATGGGGCCAAGGAAGTAGTGTGGCTAAGGCGTTTGTTGGAGGAGTTGGGAGTTGGTCAGGAGAAGCCGACAGTTGTGTTTTGTGACAATGAGTCCGCTGTGAAGCTCGCCAAGAATGCTTGTCTGCATGGGCTGACAAAACACATAAGGCCTAAGTGGCATTGGGTGAGGAGACTCCTTGATAAGGAGGTGCGGCTGGAGATAGTGAAGACCCATCAGCAGGCAGCAGATATTTTCACCAAGCGTCTGGCGGAGGCGGATCATTGGAAGGGCATGAAGCTTGCTGGGATGAGTGTGCATTGAGTATGCATGCTTGAGATGTTGGTATGGTGGATGATGGTTGGCAGCCAGAGGGGGAGATTGTTGTGTGATGTCATCATATGCTATCACATTCTGTCTGCCTCCCATCCCATATTTTTTCAACTTGCATGTGTGGTTTGAACGTGTGCAAGAATTTGTGTGTGATGTGTTCTGGAGTTTGGGAATGTGTTTTGTGTTATTTTGTTTGAGCAGGTTTTTTGTGATGATAGATCTTGAGAAGATCTTTCCGACGCAACGAGAATCCCTTCAATCGGAGCAAGAACGCGAAAGCTATGAAGATTCAAAGTTCATGAGCTTGCGTTACAATTGCGGCGGTTACAAAGTGAAGTTGTGGGGTGACTCTATATGGAGTTGGGACCTTTGGGGGTTTGGGAAATTTGTCACTCACTGTAACAGCTGCAAATTGGTTGGGAACAACCAAGCTAGGTTGGCAAGGGTGGCCAACTTGGATGGATTGGTTGGGAAGGGACAAATGTCAAAGTTGGGGTTCCTATAGGGAGGGAATCTTTGTGCTTATGGGGTTTCCTTGGTTGGGGACTCTCTTGGGACCTTCCCTCTCATCCCTCTCTTCCTATCCCAACCTTTCTCTTGCTCCTTCTAATTCCTTGTGAGATTCTTGAACTTTGATTGAACTCTTGAGATTGAGTTAAGTTCTCCTCCTACAGCTTACCCCCTAATGCGTCGAAAGCCATAGCGTCGCGAATACTTCATCAATCAACATGATTCAAATTGGGAACGGTAGCTGAGATAAAGAGCTACAACATATCCAAGTTTCGCGACATTCCAACGGCTAGGTTTTCGTCGACGTCGTTTCTTGTGAAGACGACTTTTCTGTCCAGAATTTCGGATTTATATTTTGAGTAATTCTAGCTCCTAAGTTCACCTAGACTCCGTCCTTAATCCTAACAGGGGGGAGATGCAGTGTCCAGCGTGAACAGGCCAGGCACGGGTTTTCGGGGGAACGTGGTAAGAGGGGCACCAGTGGCGGCCTCTTTACATACGGTGTACCGCTCGTGTCCAGAGAACGTAGTGATGACGCCAAGGTTCTGAAGACAACGGGCACCAGAAAGGTTCCTAGAGAACGAGGGGATGTGGAAACCTATAAGAGAGCCCGAGGCGACTGCCGGACAGGGAAGGGTAGTGGAGCAACGTGCGACTACCGGACCTGAGGAGGGGTGAGCAAGCGCTACAGCAGCAGGGGCAGCAAGCGGCGTGAGCGAAGTGTGGTCGCGGAAGAAGTAGGCAGACGATCCAGAGTCAAGCATGAACTGGAGCAAAGCATTAGCATCTGCAGTAGCGGCAGCTGGTGGGGGGGCTAGCGTAGAGCCTAAGCTAAACAAGGCAGGAAGTCCTATGCCTGATACAGCAGGGGAACCTAGACGACACGCAGGAGGCACACCTACGCTAGGCAACACAGGGTAATAAGATCAAGTCACACTAGAGTCATCAGCATACATGACATACATAGCAGTCCTAATCTGATCCGTGTCAAGCTCAAAGTGAGGCACAGGGCGGCGGGCCAGGGCGTACTAGTCAGGAGGGTCCGAGGTGGGACCAAAGTGGAGACGGTAGTCGTCGGGGTGGCGGTAGCAGCGGGTGGCGGTGTGACCTGGATGGTCGCAGACGGTGCCGCGGAGGGGGCCGGTCTGAAGCTGGTACTGGCAGGTGGCCACACTAGAGCTGCCACCCGACACTGAGCTGCACGGAGCACCACCACGACCTCCACCACCAGCGCCACCAGGCCACCATGGCGGCAGGGGTCCCCATGGCGGCTGCTGCTGCTGCTGCTGCTCCGGGGCACCAGCCCCGGTCCCCTCGTCTGCACCACCGTCCCCGCCCCCACCTCCACCACCCCCACCACCCCTACCACACTTCCCTCCGCCACGCCCCCCTTGGGGCGGCGGCCCCTACCCTGACGCTGCTGCGCTGAGGCCGCGGCGGCGGTCTCAGCAGCAGGGGCTGTCTGAGCAACAGCGGCGGAAACGTCAGAGTAAGTGCACTGGGAGGGAGCACAGCCCTGGAAGATAGGAACTGGCGCAGTACCGCTAGACTGAGTGATAGTGCGCTGGTGGGTCTCTATCGCGGACATGGCGGTGACAAAGGCAGTGAGGGGGAGGTCACCTTGGTGCTAACTAAGGAAGTGGTCGCAGGCAGTGGCTAGGCGGTCAGGCAGACGCGGGGCAATGAGGTAAAGGGTAGCGCATAGCGGCAGCGGGAAGGCAATGAGTTATGCTTTGATGCTAGCGACGCGGTAGCTAGTCTCCAGTGCGCGCAGGTGCGTTGCAAGGTCAGCGACAGTGGGGAAGGATGCAATGTCAGGGAACAGCATGGGGAGGATCAGGCGGCCGGCAGAGGTTGAGGCGCGGGTGGAATAGCGCGCGATGACAGCATCTAAGTAGTCCTTGGCGTTTGATACAGCGGTAAAGCAGGGACGCTCGGACAGGGGGAGGGCGTGGCTAATGGCAAGCTGAGCAACAGCATCGCGCGAGTCCCAGACAGCGCAGGCAAGCTCGGCAACGACAAAGCCTCACGCTCAGCAGACGTGGGGGCGTCAGGGAGGGCAGCAGACAGGGCGGGGCGAGGGAGCTTACCGTCGACATGGACGGCCAGGGAGAAGCTTTCTTGGCGCTGCCCGGTCAGCTGGCGGTGGAGGTCGACGAGCCATGCCTCAAATTCAACGGCCCGAGCACCACGGCATCCTTGGCACACTGTCCGATTGCTAGGTCATTGACATGGTACCAGGTGAGGAGTCAAGTACGCCTGACACCCTCCACGTCCAGGCGGAGCAGTGAGTCCGCCATCACCCCGGCTGCAGCAACTGACTTCCGCTGACAAGGGGAGGAGGGCAAACGGAGGAGGGCATTGGACTGCGGTGGAGTGCGGTGGGGAGCGGTGGAGCGCGGTGGAGGACAGTGGAGTGCGGTGGAGTGCGGTGGGGAGCGGTGGAGTGGGGTGGAGAGCGGTGAAGTGCGTAGAGACTGCCGGCGAGAGCGCCAGCTCAGAGGGGAAGCCAAGGCCGGCTGGCGGCTTCGGATGTCCGGCGGCGACGGGCGGGCGGCTACAGGCGGGCCAGCGACGGTGGGCGGGCTGGCGGCAACGGGCGGCCAGCAGCAACGGACAGCGGCTGGTGGCAGCGGGCGGCCAGCAGCAACGGACAGCGCCTGGCGGCAGCGGGCGGCTGGCGGCGACAGGTGGCCAGCGGCTACAGGCGGCTGGCGGCAGCGGGCGGCTGGCGATGACGAGCGACCAGCAGCGACGGGCGGCCAGCGGCGACAGTCGGGCTGGCGGCGACGGGCAGCCTGCGGCGATAGGCGGCCAGAGGCTAACAGCGGACTGGCTGCCACGGGCGGCCAGTTGCAACAGGCGGCTAGCGACGGGCGGCGTGGGCTAAGGCTAGGACTAGGGCGGGAAGGGCAGGTGGGCAGGATCCTAACCTACTAGCGTGATACCATCTCAGAGTAATAGATTGACTAGAACGATGAGGTACAAGGAAATATAACCTAAGGTGTTGTACTCTCTATGAGCATGCACCTATCTAGCCTAAAACATACACAAAATATATGTTGACAGTATTGTCTACACTATCTTCGACGCCTGCGCATGACGACACCCATGTGTGCTTTTAGTGAAAGCATGACGGACTCGAGGAGGGCCTCGTCAGAGGAGAGGTACTTGTCGTATATCCTTAGGCACTCCTGCTGCCGCCGCTGTATGGTAGGCTGGATAGATAGACAGGGGGGCATCGAGATATTGATGGATGCGCAAGGAGAAGAGAAGATATACATCTTAGGAAACGATGTATAGGTAGATATGGAAACAAATGAAGTACTGGTATGCAATGCAAAGAACAGAATACAGAGAAAGTAATTGTCAAGCATGTAACAGCACAGACATATAGACAAACAAAACAGCCTCTCCGTGCTGCTTATATCCGAAGGCACATCTCATTCATTGCCCCATGCTACAGCCACCGATTTCCCACAATGTCCACCCCATGCCACAAAATATCCTGTTATCAGGCGAACCCACCATATCATTGACCATCTTCCCTGCATGCCATGTCACATGCATCATCCATAAACCATGAGCATGCCGTACCGCATCCAAAACCCAAGGGCATGCCATACCTAGGCATGAGCACCTGGCGAGTCGAGCCTCGACTAGTCCGAGTCAGCTGTGCCTCGCCCAGCAGGCGAGTCCAGTCTCACTCGACTGTGTCCGAGTCGGGCAGCCAAAATCCCAATTTGTAACTCGTACAGACACGCCTCAGGGTCGACTCAATCCGAGTCGAGCCTGGCTTGATGCGTTTGACATAGAGGCGACTTAAGGCCCCCTTGGTCGATGCCAGGTCCGCCCAGATCGGGTGGCAGTCCGCCAGATCTTGACTGGACTCGAGTCGGAATTGACTTGACAAGAAAAACTGGCTGAGTCGAGGTTTACTATGACGCGACTGACTACACCGATTCGACTCGACTTGGGTAGAATTGGCGGGACAATAAAGAACTTGACTCACTTGCTCATGCCTAGCCACACTCATCTATATCCCATGAGCATACCATACCTCGTCCATGGCTCTAAGGGTCGGCAAGATTCGGTGCATCTGGTCAGTGGGGAAGCGCAGCAGGCAGTGATGCCACGATATGATGTCGTCGAACGGTAGCCGCCAGTTGTCAGCCACCACCACTGGGATCGCACCCACTGTCAAGGCCTGGAGTCGGCATGGGGTGCGGAAGAGGCATAGGAAGGGGCAGCAGGCAGTGATGCCACGATATGATGCTGTCAAATGGCAGGCGCCAGTTGTCAGCCAGCACCACTGGGATCACACCTATAGTCAGGGCTTGGAATATGGGTGAAAACATCGGGCATTGGGAGGCGCAGCAGCAGGCAGTGGTGCCACGATATGATGCTGTTGAATGGCAGGCGCCAGTTGTCAGCCACCACCACAGGAAGGTTCCATGGGACATGCTCCCCCACTGTTAATGGCTGGAACATGGGGCATCACACATGGTGCTTGCGACGTGTGGCAGGCAACGATTCCACAAGATGAAGTCAACCTTGGGTCCTTTCCGGTGACGGATGATGTGCGAGCAGTGAAGCATGAAAGAACAAGGGGCAAGGGGCTGGAGACCATGGCACACCATATAAGGTTCCGGGGCCACCAAAACAGCACACACGCACAGCTCCAGCAACCTGTAGGTCGACCCTTGTCTGCCGGCTGGAGCAAGAGTGAAAGAGGTGTTCACGACTTGTAGCACATGGCACAACACACGCCAAGGATAACCAGCACCCACCACTCATACCTCCAGGAATCTGTAGGTAGACCCTTGTCTGCTGGCCAGAGCGAGAGTGAATGGGGTGTTTATGACACCACACACTACATTAGATCATATGCCCCGACCGCCACATAACACATACCTCAAGGAACCTGTAGGTAGAGCCTTGCCTGCCGGCGGGAGCAAGAGTGAAAGTGGTGTTCATGACGTCAGCAAAGTCATACTGAGTGTACAGTTTCGCGTCCTCGTCACACTCCGGCTTCAAGGAAGGTTCCTCTGAGAGGATGCGTGCGTTGGTGGACCCACTGGTTGAGGAGGAGAGAGGGGAGGGACGGAGGGGGGGGTGTTTGGGAAAGGGTCGGCTGGAGATGAAGC